TATCTCTTGTGGCTGATGAGACCTCTCCTGTTAGTATAATTCATAGGTAATCTTTTTTCCTCCTGCTTGCTTTTACTCTGTCTTTGAAGTCTCTTCACTGTGATGTCTCTAAGGATGGACATCTATGCATCTTCCATTTCACTGGTTCTCTTTTTAACTTGTCCGTGATTTAATCCATTCTTTTTTATAACTTAGTTTTAGTTTTTATCAGTTATATGTACATGTAGTTTAAAAAAGAAGAGGTTCTGTAAGCCTTGTTATGAAAAACTGACTTCTATCCTGCTCTCCAGAAGGAACTATTAAACTCTTTTAGTGTACTCTTTCATTTACTTTTGTATTGCCAAATAATATGCTCTGATTGCTCCTTTTGCCAGTTTAGACATTATCTATGGCCTGTTCTCTATGGAAGATGAGCATTTAGCTTTTTATTTAACCTGCAGCTCCCCCCGCTTGTTTCTCCATTCCTCCATTCTTCCAACATAGTTATATTTTGCTTAGCTAAGTATTTGTTTACATCGTTATAACTGTGGAAATGTAATCACAGCTGAGCCATGTAGTGGTTCTCTAAGATTCTTTCAGGGGATCTGTAAGGTCAAACCAATTTTTGTCATAATACTAAGATGCTATTTGCTCTCTTCACTGTGTTGACATTTGACTGATGGTGCAGAAGCAATGGTGGGAAAATGTGCTGACACCTTAGCACAGGTCAATGGCACCAAACTCTGTACTATTTGGGTTATTAAGTATTAAACGTGATTTCCTTAAGTACTAAGTTTGACAGTTGATATCTCTGACATTTCACTTTGACACTTCTTGTTTTATTTTTATTGTGAAGATACATTCCCAGTCTTTCAAACGCATGTTTTGGCTTGTGATTATCTTTTAAAATTTTTAGAGCAATTTTTGTGAAACCGTGAATAAGTCAAAAATTCATGTTATTTTTGAATATGAGTTCCATTGTGGAACCAATGCAGTGTAGACAGCTCAAAATATCAACGAAGTGTTTGGGAAGAATGTGGCTAGTGAACGCACAGTATGTCAATGGTTTGAGAAGTTCCATTCTGGTGATTTTGATCTTGCAAATCAGCCATGTGAGTGACCTTGAGACCAAGGTGGAAAATAATGAGCTGAAAGCTATAGTGGAAGTGAATCTATCTCAACCTGTGTGTGAATTAGCTGCAAGGTTTGACATAATTATTCCAACAATATTGGACCATTTGAAACAAATGGGCAAGGTAAAGAAGCTGGATAGATGGGTACTGCATGAATTAAACAAGCATCAGAAGAGTAATCATCTCAAAGCTTGCCTTTCTTTGCTGTCACGACATTTAAAGGTGAACCATTTCTACACTATATTGTTAAGTGTGATGAAAAATGGATTCTTTCGGACAATCGCAAGCATTCGGCAGAATGGCTGGATAAAGATGAAGTGCTAAAACAGAGTCCAAAACTGAATACTCATCAAAAATGCTAATGATGTCAGTTTGGTGGTCCAGTGCCAGTATTATCCACTACAGCTTCATGAAACCTGGTGAGTCGATGACAGTGGATGTCTACTGCAACCACTTGGACAAAATGACGAGGATGCTTGCGATTAAGCAGCTGGGGTTGTTCAACAGAGACAGGCCAATCCTCTTGGAAGACAACACTGTACCACACATTGCACAAACAACTCCGCTCAGACTATAGCAGCTGGACTTGGAAATTCTCTGTCATCCACCGTATTCACCACACCTTGCACCAACTGACTACCACTTCTTCCAGGCTTTGGACCACTCATTGCAAGGAAAAATATCCAATTCCGAATAAGCTGTGGAAAATGCCTTTTGTGATTTCATCACCACTCACTCTCCAGGCTTCTTCACTGCTGGCATAAACAAGCTACCGTTAAGATGGCAAAACTGTGTCGATAGTTTAGGCACAG